GGGGGGAGGGTCGCAGCTCCAGGGTAGGGCTGGGTGGTCCGTAAAGGGTTGGGCGCAGCCCTTACTCCGACTCCGCGTCGGAACTGTTGAGGTTACGAAACAAAAAGAAACCCGAAACTCGATACACCTTCTCCTTGTGGCAAGAAGACGACGGTGTAGTCGCGAAGCGCTGCCGCGTGGTCCGTCGGTATTATGCTGACGCTCGAGTCACTGCTGCTGGCAATGCCGACGGCTACCCGTGTTATAGGCATACTGAGAGGGGCGGGGAAGAGACTGCCGCGCAGGGGAGGCCGACGGAGTGTGTGTCAGAGGGGGAGGCTGTGCGCGATGTCCGCCGCCCCTGCGGCTGGCGCCGCTGCTGCTGGTGGCCGCCTAGCGTGACGGAAACGGCAACGTTTTATGATGAAGAAATAAAAACGCGCGAGAGAGGTTTCTCCGCCTTGAGCTGCTTTCCTGCCGTGCCATTTCCCTCCTCGCAGCGGATCAATAGGATGGCCGACCGAGCCTCCAGGCGGTCTGGCGCTCCTGGAGTTCTCCAGCAGGCGGGCTATATCGGGCAGGCTCTCCGGCGAGCTGCAGTCAGGAAGAGCTCCAGGCAGGGCGGCGCCAGGGATGGCGCTTCTAGCCCGAAGGAAGGGTCGACGACTGGTAGTGTGCTCCCATGTGTCCCGCGGCCCGTGCCAACAGAACTCTGCGTCGGGTGTACTCTGAGTGTACTCCAGGTGTACTTCGACTGTACTTCGAGTACTCAGACTTTACCACCGACGGTGACAGGTGGCTGATTAAGCGCGCGCACTTTTGTAATTATACTGTACCGCATGCAGGCGTGTGGTTGGGTTGCTTATTGGGTTGGGGTGGTAGGGCATCATCGAGAAAGTACGCCCGTCACTGGCCAAGTTCAGCGTCTTCAAGCTCTCATAGCGCCTGGTAGGTAGGCAACGTCTTGCCCACGGTGCATGTGTGTACTGCAGTGTTGCCTACCCAGGGTCTCGCAGGCGTCGCAGGGTTTTAGCGAATGAATCTGAGGAAAACGGATCTACTTCCTGGACGATGGCTAAGAAGGCGCCGTGGTCAGACAGAAGCGATGACAGGCAAATTAACCCGCACACCTGCATGTGCATCCGGTACAGGACGGTAGAGTAGAGTGTAACTACAATAGATTGCCCTGGGATAATCGGGTACTCCAAGCAGTGTACTGGGCGTACTAAAGTCGACTAAAGTACTCCTGTTCCCTTCCAAATTCGCACCATCGTCCTGCTCCAGGGTGGCTGCGGGCAGGGTGGCTTCAGGCAGGGTGGCCGCAGGCAGAGTGGCTCCAGGCTGCGACGGCAAACACCTCGTAAAGGAAGTCAAAATGATGTCATTTCTCAAAGTCGCAGCGCGAGGCGAGACGACGTGGCTCGGCGTGGCCCCGGCAGCCAGACGCGACCGCTCGCCGGGGGAGAAAGAGGGGGGGCGGGGCGGAGAGAGGGGGCAAA